GGCACAGAACAACAATGGATTGCTAGTTGGATTCAGGGCACAGTCTATGATCAGGAACCTGGAACCCTTCTCGGAACCTGCCATCAGCCATGGATCCAAAAGGGGCAGGGAGCTTCTTGAATGTGTTGGGAGACCCTGCTGGAACATACAGCTCAGAGCTTAAAACAGAAGCTAGAGCTTTTAGCCATTCTACACCCAAGACTTAATTCAGAGTCAAATCTACCGCCCTATTTGAACAGCGCAGAACTCAGTGTCTAAAACTCAGAATGCACACTATAATCTGAAGCCCTTTATAGAATCCACATCCCATCCCAAATTCTATACCTAAACCTAAGATTCAGACCCCAGCCTAGAAGGCAAAGACCAGACTAGAGCCCAGAATTCACCCAGTGACTATATACCCATATCTAACACCTTAACCTGAAGTTCAATCTAGAACCTGGAGTCCAAGTTTCATCCTAGTGTCTAGAACACAATTCCCAGGCGCAGATCATCATTTGGAACCTTGGATCCAAGCCATTACCTGCAGCTCTGCCTGTAATCCAGAGCCCGAGCTGGAATCGAGAGCTCAGATCTGAGTCTAGAGCCAGGAGTTGAGACCATAATTTGGGATTCAGTCTGAAATAGAGCCTAGCTTAGAATCAAGAGCTCAGACCAATGTTTCAAACCCTGAGCCTAGAAGCAGCACAGAGCTCCAAGCAGTGTCTAGAACCCAGGTCGTGAACTGGAGCTTAATCTAGAACCCGGAGCTCAACCTAGAAACTGGAGCTCTCATCGGTCTAGAATCTAGGGTCCAGGCCATCATAACCCACTGTTCAGTATAGACTCTTCAGCTTACCCTAAAACTTAAAGCTCAAGCCGATATGTAGAACCCAGACTCAAGCCATAATGCAGAGCTCAACAAAGATCCTTCAGCCTACCCTAAAACTGAAAAGACTCACCAGTATCTAGATTCAATCTAGAATCCTGATTCTAGCTGCCAGTCAAAAGCTCACAATGTCTAGAAGCCAGAGCCCAGGCTTAACTGGGATGGAGTAGCCCTGTGGCCCACTCT